CTTGGATTGGCCAACCCAATTCTATGGACTATCGGGATTTGCAAGATTTCTATTGCAGCTAGGATCACTACCTTTTATAAATTTAACCCAAATTAAATAGAACAACAAGGTAAAAATTATAATGGGTAAAATTTAATTTATAATTTAAAAATTATAATTTTATAATTATTTTTAATTGAATTAGAGGTTTTTATAAAAATAATTAAAATTTATTTGATCACTAAAAAAATATATTTAATATTATATTAATATAATGTTTGAATTGAATGAGGTGAGAGATTTAAAAATTTATATACATGTATAATCTGTTTAAAAATATACGGATAAAAATAAGATAAAATTATTGACAATTTGACAACTATAAGTTATAATTTAAATGTTATTTAAATAAGTTTTTTTTAAATTATAAGCTCTTTTTATTTTGTGATTATTAAATAACTCTGTTAATTTTTTTTTTATAAAAAGTTATAGGCTTTTAAATAAGTTACATGTTCATATGATAATCCAAAATAGTTAAAGCTAAAAAGTCTTGGATATAAGTCACACACAAAAGATAGAAAAATTTACATATCGTAATTATTATTACATGAATTTAAAAAATATTTTGAAATAGTATAAAAATTCATATTTTAATGATCACAAGATAAAGAAATCATATATGTATTTTTTTTATTATAAATTTTAGCATACAAATGATAAAAAAAATATACTTATATAATTATAAATCATTGTATGAATTTTTAAAAATGTATATATTTTAATTTTTAAAAATAAAATAAAATAAAATAATTGAAAAGAAAAGATAAAAATCACTGAAGTAAACAAGTGATTAGCAAAAATAAAAGTAAAATATATAAGATGGGTAACATAAATTTTTTTTTATTAATTTCAAAGTTAATTTCACTGTTTGTTACTATTTTTATTTTAATTCTTATTTTTTATTTTTAAAGAAAAAATATTAATTCTATTACATTAACTACACACAATATATACAAAAAAAAAATGAAATTTAACTCTCAAAAATTTATTTTGCATATACATTAATTACAATAACAAATTATTATTGTAATTTCAAAATATAAAGCACAAAGTTTTAAATTCCTCGCGACTAATTTCCTTATTATTATTAAATATCAAAGGTAACAAAACAAAAATAAAAGAAGAAAACATAAAAACAAAATGAAAACAAAAACAATGATGTTTGTATATGTAAATTGTTACCCATTCGCCTTAATTTTAACTTGTTAAAAATTTATTGAAGTACAAAATTCATTGCCAAATTCATCCTAAATGTTTCAAAATAACAATATGACCCATAAGATTTATTCACTTTTAGGCTTTTGATGTTTACGTTTATTTTTGAAAAGTTAAGGTTTTGTTTAAAAGTTTAAAGGAGAAAGAAGGAAAGGGTTCAAAGAGAGTAAGAAGAGAGGGAAAGAAGGTTGTTTCCTTGTTTAGATATTTAATATTGAGTGGAGAGGGTGATATAGAATTTAATTATATAAATGATATTATTATATTTTATATATTTTATTTATATTTTTTATTTTTATAAAAAATAAAAAATAAATATTTTTCTGTCTTAAAAATTATAATTTTTATTTTTATAATTTTTTAAAAAAAAAATTCACTTGAAAGACTAATATTTAAAAAAGAATTAGAATGCTAATCGTTAAAGAGTATGAGAGAATAAAAGAGAGAAAACTTCTGGAAAACTTCTTAATTAGGAAAACTAAATAAAATTAGTGTTAGAAGGATTTTGGAAGGTTTAGAAAAATCTTCAAAATATTTTCTTCTTAATTAAGCAACTCGCAAACAAAGGTTTACCCCTCCCTTCCTAAACTCAACTCCCAATCATAGCCTAAAAAAAAGGCACTAGATTTTGCTGCCTCATAAGCCCCTTTAATTGGAAAACATTCTATTGGCTTTTCTACTTAAATAGAAGTATCAATTAATTAAATAATAAATTAAAATTAGTATTGCATCAATTCAAACGATACTTACCATGTGTAGATGTTGCAATCGTGTCAGTCTAAAAGAGACGACACTAATTTGAAATGGATGGTTAGGGAGAAATAAAGTTACATATGCAAATTTGGACATTTGTTGATTCTGCAAGGTGACAACGCTATGGCATCTCTAGCGATAATCGTTCAAACTATGACACATGTCAAATTGGTAATGATCATAACAAATGTATGGCTTTAGCCAATGATCATATTCACATTGTAGTATTTCTGTTTATATACATATATGGCTTCAGCCAATGATCATAACAAATGAAAACAACAAAATGATACAAATTTATCATGTCCAACAATTAACTGTTAACTAATTAAAGTAATCTGAGTTGGCAAGTAGATATTAAGGATGCCAAACTTGGAAATAAGACCACAAAACTGAGGTAAAGAAAACAAGTTTAATCAACAAGTCCACAAGTTAATAATGGAATTTAACATGAATAAGTTTCAATAAACTATTAGCTACTCTTTTGCAAATGAAGTGACAATCAATCTCCACGTGTTTGGAACATTAATGAAAAATAGAATTGGTGGATAGATAAATAGCTAAATGATTATTAGAAAACACAATGGAAGAATTAAGATGAATTTCAAAATTGTGCAACAAAGCCTATAACCATGAGAGATCACTTGTCACAACAGCCAAAGCTCGATATTCAGCTTCTACTGAAGAACAAGACACTATTGTTTGCTTCTTAGATTTCCAAGTGATAAAAGATTTATTGTTTGTGGGCAAGGGTGATTGTTGTGCTGTGTGATAATGTTGTTAAATGTAAAGTGCAGTGTGAGCCGTGTCACACAATTATTAGAGAACTAACTAGCAAGTGTACTATGTAATTGTAACAAGTAATAAAATTTGGAAATTAATATGATTTCCAAGTATCGTCCTCAAGGATTAGTTCTATTAATTACCACTTCACAAATCAATAACTAGTTGAGCCAAACGAATTTGGAGTATTTTGAATTATTTAACAAACAAAAACAATAAAGTGCATAAATCTGAAAAATATAGCAAAATAGAACTACGAATTTTGTATTAAAATGCTATATGGAAAATAGTTAGGAATCATTTTACCAGATTTTCTATTGAAATGTAATAGTGTTCTGGACTTTTAAGAATTCTAATTGATTGATAATTAATTTCACTTTTTTAACCAAAGGACAATTCTTTGCCTCATTGATCTTAATACCTAATTAAATCTCCCTAATTCCTTAGGTGAAATTCAATCAAATATTGTATTAAGTTCTGAAAATTATAAGATTACTAGATTATGATCACTTATTCCTATGGCCTCAATAACCTAGGTATATGATTCATATATGAGAAATAAACTCAATTTTCATTGATGAAGATTCCTCTAACTTCAATTGAATGAATGATTAGTTCACAATTGCATTAAGAATAGAATCACATACTCAATTCAATTAAAACCTCAAGGTCCAGATCCAAAATTACATCACAATATCAAATCTGGATCCATAGATCCCTAACAAAAAGAAATCAAAACATGTAGCCTGATTCCTCAAGGTTCAGAGCTTGGAAGTCACTCCCAATCTCTCTATCTAACTCTCCTAAGGTGTAGAAATTAAAAGAAAACAAAAAATTACAAAACATTTACAAATCTAAACTCTTAATAGCTATTTATAATTTTTTCTGCCACCTTCTATGTTGACACTTTAATCACTGAGAGTAATAACGTGGAAAGCCTTCCAGAAGCTTTTAAGGTTGAGATAGTAACTCCAAATGTCCAAAGTGGCACTTAAAAGTGATTTTCAAAATTCTGTTATTTTGTGTGAACACTTTCAGGAGTAAGAGTGTCCACGCGTAGTTGAGCATGGCTACTCTCAGTAGTCAGAGTGAACACTTAAATCTGCGCAGGGCTACTTTCAGCAACCAGAGTGTACACTCAAATTGGCGCGTGAATACTCTCAGCAGCCAGAGTACACTCAAATATGCGCGTGGCTCTTCATGAATTCTGTTGCTGGAGTGGTCATTTTCAGTATTTAAAGTTGCTATGCACTTGATCTTCATGGATTTTCTTCTTTAAATTATTAACTCTATGCACCCAAAGTTGCTACGCCCAACATATATCACTTTATTCTTGATCTTTTAAGCTCAAATCTTCCACTTTCTTTAATTGAATCTTCTTCAATCCTGATCCTCAAGACTCTTAGCTTAGAATCTCCTGCAAAACTAACAAAATTATATTAGAATTCTATTAAATTCACACAATTTGAATTATTAAAGACAAATACTAACTTTATTGAATATTTCTATTTTTTGTGCAGCTTTAACCTTCCAAATTACATTTTCTATCAAAAATAACTTAGAAAACTACTTAAAAACATAGTAAAATATGCATTCATCAAGCCAAAAAATAATTATTAAGTATGTTGTATGTAGAATAATCTAGAAAGTATGGTTAAGAGTTAGTATTTTCAAAAAATCAGGACGAATAGTACTAGGCTCACAGTGCATGGATGGATGAGAACTACTATAGGACTTAGTTATTTTGAGTTATGTAATGGATATTTTTAGTTCTATAGCATTCTTTTGAAATAGTTGTAAAACTACTATTTCTTTTTGTTGTTGATGAAATTTCTAGAATCTTTGGTTTTCTAAAGTACTTATGAATTAATGAAATTTTTCTCAATGAAACTTATATCATTTCATTATTTCTTTCTCATTAGAGAGTTTTTGAAAGAAAAATTTACTTTACCATTTAAATATTTATGAAAATTTATCATATATTAAGGAAAGAAATATAATGTGTTACAATTTTGGTATTAGAACAGTTCATCCAGACCAGACTGGGATATGGGACTAACATGTCTGTGTTGTGTAATAGATATACTAGAATATGAAATGATTATTTGCTAATATGACTTGTTAGATGTGAATTACTTGAACTAGATTTATCTATGTGTATGTGAATGATAGATTAATAAGTGATTTGAGTTTGTTGCGAGATTAGAGCTATGACTGGTAGAGGTAGACCTGCTGGTGCTACAAATGAACTCTTGGAGCGTATGACCCAAGTCTTAGAGACTTTGGCACATAACTAGGAGGCTGAACCAACCAAGTATAGAGGACTTTCTTCTTTTACTAGGCATAACCCTCCAAAATTTGAAGGAAAGTTTGATTTTGAGGGAGCTCAGAGGTGGATAGCAGATGTGGAGAAGATTTTCCATGCCATGGGATGTAAAGAAGAGCATAAGGTAACTTATGCTACTTATATGCTGAGTGGAGAAGCTGAGGACTGGTGGAGATTTGCTAGTCAAACTCTATTGCAAGAAGATGGTTATATTCCTTGGGAGACATTCAAGGCAACCTTCTTGGGAAATTATTTCCCTAGAGATTTAAAGAAACAGAAGGCTAGGGAGTTCTTTGAGTTGAAACAAGGAAACATGTCTATAGGTGAATATGCTGCTGAATTTCATGAATTGATGAAATACTGGCCTCACTATCAACATAATGATGGAGAGGAAGATCTAAGTGCTCAATTTAAGCATGGGCTAAGGCCAGATATTTGAGCTGCCGTTAGTGTATTCCAGCTGACAGATTTACCCACTTTAGTGAGTAAATGTAGAATATTTGAAGCCAATACTAAGGGTAAGACGGTGGATACCAGAATCGGTGGTCCTATGAGGCAAGACCAAAGGCCTCCAAAATTTTCTAGAGGACCTTACTCTAGTCCAAATCAGTCTCAAGTGAAGGGGACTATATCTGAAGAAGATAGTAGTGGTGGTTCTGGTTCTTTCAGAAGACCACTAAAATGTTTCAAGAGTGGTGGACCTCATATTAAAAAGAATTGTCCTCAACTGCCACCAACATGTGACATTTGTGGGAAAATGGGACACACTGCTAGTGTCTGTTGGTCTGCTCCACAAAAGAGTGGAAGTATGAGTGTGGAACAAAGACCTGAATCTAAAGCAAGCACTGGAACAAAGCCAAATGTGAAAGGCAAAGTTTTTGCTATGAGTGGAGCTGAGGCTTCAAAATCAGAGGAGCTTATTAGAGGTAAATGTATCATAAAAGACCGACTTGTAGATGTGTTGTTTGATTCTGGTGCTACTCATTCCTTTATTTCTGTGGATTGTATGAGATGTCTAGAATTACCTGTATCTGAATTGTCTTGTGATGTTATTGTATCTACTCCTACGGGTAAGCCTGTAGCAACTTCTTTTGTGTGTTTAGGTTGTCCTGTGATGGTACATGGTAGGAGTTTTAGTATAAATTTGGTTTGTTTACCTCTTTTTCAACTTGATGTAATTTTGGGAATGGATTGGTTGTCATCTAACCATGTTCTATTGGACTGTAAAGAGAAAGTCTTGATTTTTGGCACTAAAGTATCAGAAAGTGATAAACTCTTAAGTCCAGATCCGTTAGAAAATGTAATGAGTGCTAAGGCTTTCATGGTTCTATTTTCAATTGAGACAGAAAAGGAAATGAAGCCTGAGTATATCCCAGTGGTTAGAGATTTTTTAGAAGTTTTCCCTGATGATGTTACTAAATTGCCACTGGAAAGAGAGATTGAGTTTACTATTGATCTCATTTCGGGAGCAAATCCTATTTCTGTTGCACCATATAGGATGTTGATGAAACGATATTTGAGCTACTCGTCATGCAAAAGATTGTCGTTAATCCTCATCAAATATGCAAAGAAATGAATGCAGTACTAGGGTGTTATCCTAGGTCGTCTCCAAGGAATTTTTGGTTGGGAACATACATCGAACAAGTGTAAACATGTATTTTAAAGCAAATAAATTGGGGGGAGTTTGTCAAATTCCGGGTTTTAATCAAGAACGAAATGTAAATTTAATGAAATTCAATCAATTAAAATGAGTAATCCCTAGTCAAGCAATGAGTTCTATCATTATTCTTCCAAATGATTCAATAATTCCCTTTTCTTTCCCTTAAATTAAGTTAATCTAACAAGCGAAGACTAACTTTAACATCCCAATTAAAATTAAGCATCTTAATGGGCTCCAATCTCTATCCCTAAGATTAAGCAACCTCAAGGATTAACCAAAATTAAGCAATTTTGAATTAGAATTTCGTTAGGTAAATTAGGGTTCATTAAGCAATGTTCCCTTCATGCAAATTCCATTTCATTCAGAGATTGGGGTTAATAAATTCAAGGAAAGAAAGATTTGTATTGCAATTAATCCCAAGAATTCAAGATTCATGTGCATTGACTAGGAATTACAAGGAAGTTTAGCCCTCCATGTGGATGGGCTTCACAAAAGAGAGAAAGAAATGCAAGAACGTAAACATCATTAATGCAAATTCAACAAAAATCAAAAGAGAAATTGGAAATTAAAACCTATAGAGGACCCTTGGCTGTCACCCAAGACTCCAATGTCGTAAGCAATTATCCCAATTTGGCAAAGGAAAAATGTGTAAAGTGTCAAAAGTCCCGTACCCTAATTCCTAAAATCTATTTATAGTGGATGACATGTCACCAAAGTGTCCACTTTTGCCTTTGAAAGTGTCCACTTTGGGCCTTGAAAGTGTCCACGCGCAGGATGGAAGGAATGCCGCTTCTCTGGAGTTACCACTATTTGTGCTGAAAGTAGCTACTTTGGATGGGCGTAGCTACTATGAGAGCCCATAGTAACCACGCGCAGGAAGGCTTCAAAATCAGCGTCCAGGAGCTTCTGAAGTTGCCACTTTTGGTCTTCAAAGTAACTACTTTGGATGCGCGTAGCTACTATGAGAGCCCATAGTAACCACGCGCATCATGCTTCAAGATTGGCGTTCCTGGAGCTTCTGGAGTTGCCACTTTTGGGCTTGAAAGTGGCTACTTTGGAACCTTTAATGCCATGCTTGCTGTAGTTGCCACTTTTACTCCTCAAGGTAGCTACTTTGGGGGCAACTTTCATCTAAGGACCAAGATTTCTCAAATTTGACTTGGGCAATCTGCAAAATCATCAAGATAATTAAAATTGCAATCTATATCTATGTAATTAAATGCAAATTAACCAAAAATTAATAAACCTATGATATTTATTCAAAATGTGATTTTATATTATTTTCACTATCTAAGTCCATTTTTTCTATCCAGAAGCATAAAAAAGGCAAGTAAAAATATAATAAAAATTGGATTCATCACAACCCCAAACTTAAACTTTTGCTTGTCCTCAAGCAAATCAAAATTCAAACAATTCAAATGAAGAGGGTTGAATTTGTCCAAAGAAAATTTTAGAAATTTTCATTTCAACTTCATGCTTTAATTAGCAATTCCAACATCTTCACAACCATAGACTCATTCAACAGAGGAATCATATTCATGTCAAATATTCCATGCAAAGTCCCACTAAATTGAAACAAAATAATCAAGCAAGGTTTCATGTGACTCTCATAATGCAAAGAAACTATCCATCTCACAAGGTGGTGTTTCACTCATCACTCAACAACATTTCAGGCTAAGTGTTTTCCCTCAATCCATGCATTTAGCCTCACCCTACCATAGGCTTGCCCATATTCTCGATCTCCCTTGCCTAGATACAACGAACCACCTATCATGAGGGCTTTGTTGGTCACAAATGGGGTTAGGATAGGCTCAAATTTTAACCAAGGAGGGTGACAAGATCAAGTGGGTACTCAAGAGGAGGGAGTTCTTTTGAGTGATTTAGTGCAACAACTAGAGTGGAATGCCTTAAATGATGTAGCTTAAGAGGTTGAAGCATTCTTTCACCACATTAATTTTTTTTTTTTTTATTTGCCTTATATGGAGATCCTTTTTCAACTCAAATGCCTTGCTATATTTTTCTTTCTTTCTTTTCTCCTTTTTCATTCATTCATATTTTTGTGATATTAAGGACTTTGAGAATCATTTTTTTTTTTTTTTTTTTTTTTTGACATGTATTATGAACATGTATGCTGTCCACCACCCCAAACTTAAGACATTGCTTGTCCTCAAGCAACTACAAGCATAATCAACACCCCAAACTTAGTTTCTTGCACTCAATCTTGAGGCAACTCAAAAGAAATACCTCTATTAAGGAAAAGGGAAGTAAATTTGTTGACTAAGTTTGGAAAAAGCAAGAAGTGGGGAACAGGGAAGTGAAGTGCAAGGGTGGGGGGAAGGGTATGTGCAAAGAAGGCCTCAATCATCTAGATGGAAAATTGCACAATGCATATTGAATTAAGAAACAAGGCAAGTTCTAGAGGATGAATGCAACAATACATGTAATATGCACACAGAAAAAAAAAATAAGAGGCCCAATTCACTACCATGGTAAAAGTGATAATGACTTGCAAAATGAGAGCACAATTCACCCGGCAAGAAAATATGTTCAAAATGTTAGGAACGAAAATATGTACAAAAATGAGAATGAGTATGGGATGGATGGAAAATGCAATCAAAGCATAAAAGCAAAATTATAAAACAGGGGAGTAAATTAAAGGAAACTAGAAGAAATGAAATAAGGAAAATATTTTTGTATTTTATCTAGTACGGTGCAGAAAAAGTAAGCTACAAATAAATGCAAAATAGAGACAAAGAGTTCACCCCCCTTTTATAGATGATGTATTCAAAGTTCAGGGTAAAATGATGCTACTCTTGATGGAACTGAGGGCATCTCTGCACAATGATAACAAGAGTTCAGAAAAAGAACGAAAAGGGAGGTAACATAACTGTTTGAAGGAAAATAACATAAAAGCAGGAACAGAAAGACAATAAAAGGACAAGTGGTTCCTAATTACTTGGGAAAATAAAGGAAAATAAGTACAAGCAGAGAAATAAAAGAAAACACGAAAAGTGGACTAAATGGCATCTTCATCAGAGGTGGATGAGGTGGCGCCTTCATCTTCTTCTACTTCTTCTGCTTCCTCTGAGGAACTGGAGTTGTGGACATCTCTGGGAGCATTGGGATTGAATGGGGGCAAGTCATTCTGAACAGCAGCTCGGAGGAAAGGGGCAGGGAAACGGTGGGCCTGATATATCTGGTCTGAAGTCATCCCCATCTTCTTGCCAATGTTCAGCATCATAGTCTCCATGAGGAGGAGCATGCTGGTTTGACCAGAGTGGATGGCAGACTGCCTCTGTGCTATTTGCTGCAGCTGCTCCTTGATTGTTGCAGGGGTTTCCTTCTTGTATTCGGGTGGCAAGGTGAGACCGGGGTCTGAAGACTTCTTTGGCTTAAATAGGTCCTTTACCAAGGCAGTGGAAATGGGAGGAAGTGCTCTAATTCGCTGCTGGTAGTCTCCAAAATCAACACCTGCATCCTGGCACAACATAGTGATTAGAGAGGGAAAAGCTAAAGAATCTCTGCTCCTTTTAAGGACTTCCAGCATGGCTCTGCTGATGACCTCCCCAACATGGATGGGCATGCCAGTGAGAATAGCATAGAGGAGTTCTGCCCTCTTTACTGCAATGGTGGAGGTGTGGATGACTGGCATGAATGAGCTGACAACAAAGATACTCCACACCTTGGCAGGAGGGAGAAGGTGTTTAGTGGTCAGATTCTTGGGCTGCATTTTACAATCAAATTCCCAATTTTCTCCTTCAATACAGATTGCTTGAAGTATAGGCTGGTAATCCTTTTCCTTTTGTTTGGAGAATGCAGTGAAATCCAATTGGTCAGGTTGCTTCTGCAGAGGAGGGATGTTTAAAACCCTCTGGATGGTGGCTGGAGTGAAACTAACTTGCTTACCCCTGACCATGGTGTGCTTGGGGGGGTAAATGTCATCTTCCAGGTGCAGGGCATTAGCATAGAACTCCTGGGTGATGTCCTTCCACCCATTGCCTGCACAAGAAGTGAAAAGTCCCCAGCCACGTCTGTCTATCTCCTCCTGAAACTGTGGAAATGTCCCCTGCTGGATTTCAAAATTCCTGTCCTGGACGATCTGGCGCCTCAGGATGTTCTCTTTGAAATATTGTTCATGCTCTGGGGACCTAAACCTTGGGTCATGAGTAGGAGGGGGTTGTGATGAAGAGGCTTCAGCTGTCCTACTCCTCTTGGTTCTAGGTGTGTTCCTTCGAGGATTGCCCGACATTATCTGCAGAGAAGAGAGAATATGTGAATGAATAGTGCAGGGGCTGCAAAATAATTTGATATCATCTTAAGTGATTTGTGCACAATAGGGTGTGTAGTGCTACATATGACCCAGAGGGCAATGAATTTCAATCATAGCCTACAAACATAGAGCTCAAATGGTATAGACAAGAGCAATTAAGCACAAAGAATGGTGTGACATACGTACACTATGTATAGCAATCCAATGGATAGTAGAATATGACTATTAAAGCTTTGAAACTCAAGGATCATAATGCAGCAATTAGTGAAATTAAAGTCACGAAAAGCATGTTCAACACCCAGAAAGAGCAA